GAAGAAGAAGAAGAAGAAGAAGAAGAAGAAGAAGAAGAAGAAGAGGAGAAGAAAAGTTGATGTAGTTCAGTGTGAAGGTCCTGGGTTCAAGCCCTAGCACTGAAAAAAAAAAATTAAACAGAATTATCCTATGACCAGTAATTCCACTCCTGATATATACCCAAAAGAATTAAAAACAAATGCAGACAGACAGTTTAGGTCCTTCATTGCGGGCATCGTACCCAAGGGCCGCAGGCCCTCCTTGCGCATGTGCACCAGCGGTGAGTGGCGCCTGCGCGTGAGGCTGCGTGGCCGGAAGAACGGACACCAGGACGGGAGAGTCTGGCTGCACGGAGCTCACAGCCGGAGGTAATGCGGATGGAAGAAGAGTTACTACTTGTCTGGTATCTTTGTGGTAAGGGAAAAGCTACAGAAATGTGTAAATCATTGTCCTGTCTTAGTCCCCCTGCGTGGTGCGCTGAAAGTGATTTAATGGGAAATTTTATGTTATATACGTTTGTTTTTGTTGTTGTTTGTTTTTTGAAACAGGGTCTCACTGTGTAGTTGAGACTGACCTGGAACTCACTGTGTAGCCCAGGCTGGTCTCAAACTCACAGCGATCCTCCTGCCTCAGCTTCCTGAGTGCTGGGATTACAGGTGTGCGCCACCACGCCTGGTTTATATACGTATTTGTATCACAGTTTTTTTTTTTTAAAGGTTTTAGTTCTTTGCATTTTGGTTCCAGGGAACAAGCAAATGGTCTAGGTGGGTTAATTTAACTTTCGAAGTCTCAGTCTCAGTTTCTACATCTATAAAATGAGACTAGAGTTTGAGATTGTTTTGAAAACTAAATGGCATGAGCTAGGTGTGGTGATGCATGCGCCTGTAATCCCAGCCCTTGGGAGGCTGAGGTAGGAGGATTGCTGTGAGTTGAGACCAGTTTGGGCTACATCATGAGACCTTGTCTCAAAAACAAAGCCAAAAAAAAAAAAAAAAATTGAATGACAGAATCCACGTGGCCACTTAGCAGGATGTTGCTGTTTCTTCTCCTTCATTTCCCCTGGAAATGCATTTTGCCACCTGTCCCCCATGTTTTTGTCTCCGGCTTGGATCAGCTCACTGCCCGCATTGAGAATGCTTGAAAATCCAGATGGAAAAACTTGATTCAAAGCACCAGAACCTCTGATGCCAGGCCTGGAGGAGTTGTTCCCCAAGAGGAGCAGAGAGAAGAGAGGAGGTGGTCACCTTGTGCCCCACTGGTGTCTGCTGCTCCTTGACTGGGAGGCTGAGGCCAGGACCCCAGCACAAGGCCATTACCTCTAGGAGGTGAAGAGCCAGTGTGGGGGGAGCATGAGATGGCCGGGGCCGCAGGCGCTGCGAGCCCCACCCTATAGCTGTGCCTGGCCTGCTGTCTGTGTAGGAAACCTGCTGTGGGCACCTGGCCACTGGAAAAGTCATGGGGAACTGAGTCCCAGTGATCTCTCAGCTGCAAAGACACAGCAGAGGGTGCAGGACCTCGCTGGGGCCTGCACAGTGGACATCAACAACCCTCAGGTTACCTCGTGAAGGCAGTCTGCTCAAGTGCTGGGACCCCTAAGACAAGGTGACCCTCTTTGGAGAGAGGTGACAGCATCCAGAGCCTCTATCATTTTGCACAAATAAATGCCCAGCATTCAATTAAAATTTGGTAGGCATTAAGCCAGGCATGGTGGTGCACTCCTGTAATCCTAGCGCTAAGGAGGCGGAGGCAGGAGGTTCACCATGAGTTCAAGGCCAACCTGAACTGTATAGTGAGACTCTGTCCCAAGTTGGGGGGAAATGTAAAGGCATACTAAGAAAGACGAATAAGAAAAATTCCCAAACGACATAGATATTGGACCTAATGGACACCAACTTTAAGTGTTATTAAGCCAGGTGTGGTGGCACTTTCCTATAATCCCAGCATTTAGGAGCGATTCTAGAGTTGAAAGCACATGGCTGATATTTAGAATAGTTGGATTTAATGGGGGAGGGCTGACAGAAGGAGACTGGGAAGGTTTATAGAAGTGGAAGGCAGGACCGTAGGAAATAGCCACACAGATGCCCAGTGGTTTCCTAAAGAATGAATACAGATCAGGACTGGGGTATGTGGAGAAGTTGCAATAGACACAGCTAGTTTCTTGGAAGGACAAGGTGACAGGAAGAAGCAATGTAAGCAGGCAGGGACTTGGAAAATGTAAATGTCATCGGTCCACAGACTAAAGGTGCTTGTGAACCACCAGCTGGGTAAATTCAAAGATAATCTTAAAAGGAGGTAGAGGAAAAAGGAAAGTCTTGAAAATAATTTCAAAGGAGTAACAATAGCATAGATAGCAGACTTTTCAATGCAAATCATTGAAGGCAGAAGGTTTAAAAAATAAAATTTTAAAATTTCTGTGAGAAATAACTGTCAACTTAAAGTTCCACAGAATTCTGTAGTAAAAATAAACCTCAAAAGTGAAGGTAAAATGAAGATATTTCTAGAAAAAAATTAAAAATGATTCCTGGGAATTGTTTGGGCATGTTGTCACTAAGGTAACCACAAAGAATGGTACAAGCATGTAAACAGGAAATAATAGTAAAGAAATGGATAAACAACAAACTAATGAGGAGGGGGAATGAAGTAATAAAAAATACTTAATGCAAACAGAAGCGAAAATGAAGTCAGGTGTGGTGATACACACCTGTAATTCCAGCACCTTGGGAGGCTGAGGCAGGAGGATCATAAATTCAAATTTAGCCTGGGCAATTTAGCAACTTGGTGAGATTTTTCTCTCAGAATAAAAATTTTAAAAAGGTCTGGGGATGTAGCTTAGATGGCCCTCAGTTCTCACTATGGGAAGAAAAAAAAAGATAATATAAAACATGCATATGAATACAAAAAATTCACATAGTAGCATAGTAGAAATGTTAAAATAAATCAGGAACTACATGCAAGTGAACTAAATGTTCCAAAGACTATGCTGCTACAGGGGACATTTGCTACCAGGATGGAGAGGTTGAAAGTAATAGCGTTGTGGTTGATACCTAGATGTCCCCCAAAGACTCATCCGCTTTAGGGGGCGCTTTCAGATCATGAGGCGTGATGGAGGTGGAGCCTGGCCTCAAGAGGCGGGTCCGTGGGGCGTGGCTGGAAGATTTGTCTTCTCCCTGGCTCCTCCTTTCCTCTCTGCTTCCTGTCACCCTGGGAGGAGCAGCTGTCCTCCGCCAGGCCCTGCCCTGGGGCCAGCTGAGCATGGACTGTCCTGTGAGCCACAATACCCCCCCCACGAAGTTGTGGCTGCGGGTATTGTGCCCCAGCGATGAGGAGTGACTAAGATAAAGGGGGTGGAAAATGTCCCAGGTGTGTCATGGTCCCCACGTCCACTCTCGGGTCCCTGGAAGGAATCACAGGACTCGGAAGGGCTGTTCCGCTCTGAGCACAGCGTATTAAGGGAGAAGTCTGCAGATTAAGGTCAGCAAAGGAGAAGGCATGTGAAGGAGGCCCAGGGGGCTGCAGGCGCAAGCGTGTGGCGTGTGTGTCCCTCCCAGCAGTGACACGTGACAACACTCATGAAGGACTGCTTGCTGGGACCTCACCCGAGCCTGGGCATCCAGGACTTGGGTCAGTCACACAGCACGGCTGCAGCTCCTGGGTTTCCATCCCCCTGAGGCCAAATCCTCTGCAGCCAGTAGAGTGCACGGTCTTGGGAGCCATTGTCCCCCCATGTGCCCATCTGGGGCCGATTCTTACTTGGAATCTGCAGGCTGAGGAGCGGCCCAGCACGTGCGTGCTCACCCGAGAGCCATTGTAGCTGGGCTGGCGCTGATTACACGGTGCTTAAGGCCACCGAGGGATGAGGAGGGACATGTCATAGCCGTTAAAGGGTGGGCATGCCAGAGAGACACAATGTACATTTCTTTCTGAGCTTGATAACATAACTGTACATGGCATAAAGTAAAAATTGACAATGCTAAAAGGAGAAATAGAGACTTTGGCAACCACAGCCTGCTTCCCACCATAAATGAAAGAACAAGCAGACGACAGAGGCCTTGGTAAGATCTGAACAACATGATTAACAAGTGTGACACTATGTGGAGCACTGTACCCACGAGTGACAGGGTGCGTGTTATTTCCCAGTGCATACGGAGCACTGCGCTATCTGATCATATGGCTGAGCCGTGAGTTTCGACACATTCTAAAAAGATCAGAATTATTCAGATCATGTCCTAGGAATAGAAAGGAACTTTTTTACTCTTTTAAGAGTATCTGTAACAATTTTTTTTTTCTAATTGTAGCACATGCCTGTGCTCCCAGCACTCTGGGAGGCTGAGACAGGAGGATCACAAGTTCCAGCCCAGTCTGGGCAGTTTAGCAACTTAGCAAGACCCTGTCTTAAAGTAAAACAAAAAATTTAAAGGGGCTTGGGATGTAGCTCAATGTTAAGTGTGAAGACTGTGTTTTTTGATTTTTTGTTTTCTTTCTTTGTTTCTTTCTCCTTCTCTCTCTCTCTCTTTTTTTTTTTGGACAAGGATCAAACTTAGGACGTTGCGTTTGTGAGGCAGGAGTGGTGCCACTGAGATAAATCCCGGCCCTCTTCTTTCTTTTTTAAGAGGGAGGTGCTAGGGTTAGTTACTGGCCAAGTCACTAAATAGCCCAAACTGGGTTTAAATCTGCAATCCTCCTGCCTCTGCCTCCCAGAGTACTGGAATCATAGGTGTGCATACACCACCATGCCTGGCTGGGAAAAAACAAAGACCTTCTTGATGATGAAATATTAGTAACTTCTCCCCCACTGAGGTTCAGAATGAGATGAGAACACCCACCATCATCCCTACACCTTTAGGCCCTCCCCACCCACAGAGGACACATTTTCAAGGTCCCCATGCAGTTCTGAAACCACAGATAGTACCAGTCCCTATAGATGCTACTTCTTTTCTGGCTTTTTGGAGACAAAAGAGTCTCCCTATGGGTTCCAGGCTGGCCTTGAACTCATGGTGATCCTCCTGCCTTAGCCTCCCAATATAGATTCTTTCTTCCTTTATGCCCTGGAGCATTGCAGACTCCAGAGCCAGTTTGTCCCTTTTAGTCAGTGCTGAGTCCTCCTTTGTGACACTCATGCTGCAGGGCCATTGCTAATAAGAGTCACTGGACACAGCGGCAGCAGTGGATCCAGCACCAATGACTGGACATAGGGACAGGAAGGAATAGGAGGTGGCTGTGGGCCACCTCTCACATGCTTCCCTTCTTGCAGGGACCCACAGCCTGTGCAGTCTTCCCGCCCCTGCTGTCAGGAACACTAGGTGCCACCAGGTGAGGTGGCAGGGACTGGGATTCCAGGTGCAAGGCAGAAAGGGTTAGGCTTGGCCCC